CGGCAAACTACGCGTGAAGTGATCCAAGTCTCAAGTGCTGCCCTTTAGCGCCATCGCTGGCCACCTGCATCATCGTCAAAGCGCACAAGTTTCCTTTCAAGATATAAAGATAATGAAACGTTAACTGTCAGAAACCGCAAAGACTTCGCCTACCACCTATATATGTAGCTTCCTTAAGGGACTGTCAATTTTTTTGAGACCTACAAATGTAATCTAGAAGCCTCAAGTAAACAGACATACATGTTCTTAGTTGCCCTTCAGTACATCCAAGCAAACTGCCTTTCCTTTTGACATGGAGCGCGCGATGAATTCTGACTCTGAAAAGGTCTATTCCAGACTAAGACAAGGCAGTATTTGCGTCTACTGGACTTAATCACAAGAGGCTTTCGAGAACCCCAAACACCTTCTATTACAGACTTTCAGAAAAGTGATACTCAGACAGTTTTCCTGTTCATACAGTGAATATGACCCACTTTCCTGGCAGTTCTTCACCTGCAAAGTAATTACCGCAAACTTATATCATGGATTGACAACTGGAAGTTTAGATTTGTTTGGGTATTCTTGTTGTTTAGCAGTAGATTTGCTCTGAATGGCTTCGAAACAGTTCCTCCATTTCTATAACATATATATCATCTCTATAACATTTCTAAAAGAAAGTTTCCTTTTATGCTCAAAACCTTATCATCGCTTGTTTAGTTTCACAATGAGTTGGTGCAATAGAAGATAATGTCAACTCAGTTGCTGATATCCATATAAAGAAGAGTGGAGCTTGGTTGCCCACAGAATGTGCGAGCACCGCATCAGTTCCAGAGAATCCGATTGCTGGTGAGATTTTCGAAGGTGTTCGTGCCGTAATTCTTCTCAGTGTTCTCTAATTATAGCTGACACTATCGGAAAATAAACTCTGATGTAACTTTGATATACATATTCTCTCAACTCTCCCACAAATGAATTCGTGTATTTAACACATTCACGACGACGCCCCTTTTCCACTTTTCGGTCGCGTGGGACGGACGCGATTTTGTGGGCGCCGCCGCCTCACCACATAACCGCAGATTTGTTTTGTAAAAATGAACAAAAGCAATGCGTAAAGATTATCTGAACATATAACAGTAGGATTTCGATCAGAGCGACAAATAAGT